ATCGGTTTTGTAACCCAGACCGAAGCGTTCTCTGGGTTATATATGGGGAAAGGCAGTCCCTCAGGTATGTCGGACCCTGGCCATAAAGGGCTTTAAACGTAAGAACCAGCATCTTAAAGTGAATCTGGTATGCTATTGGCAGCCAGTGCAATACCTTCAGGACAGGCTGGATGTGTTCCCTCATGGAGAGACCCATCAACAGTCTGGCAGCAGCATTTTGCACTAGCTGCAGCTTCCAGATTTGCAACAAGGGCAGCCCCATGTAGAGAGTGTTACAGTAGTCTAACCTCAAGGTGACCATTGCATGGATCACTGCTACTAGATCGTTGCGGTTGAGGAAGAGAACCAACTGCCAAATCAGCCTAAGATGGTAAAAGGCTGACTTGGCAGTGGCTGCTACCTGGGCCTCCTTGTTAAGGAGGCATCCAAGAGCACTCCCAAGCTCCTAACCTCCGGTGCTGGCACCAATGGCTCACCATCAAAGGTCGGGAGTAGGATCCCTACCCCCAGTCTGCCCCGACTCAAGCACAGGACCTCTGTCTTCATTGGATTCAGTTTACGTCAGCTCAGTCTATGCCAACCAGCCATGGCTTGTAACACCCGGTCCAGATCTTCCGGTCTAGAGTCAGACCAGCCACCCAACAAAAGATGGAGCTGGGTGTCATCTGCATACTGGTGACATCCCAGCCCATAACTCCAGGCAATCTGGGCAAGGGGGTGCATATAGATGTTAAACAGCATCGAGGATAGCACCGCCCCTTAAGGCACTCCACACTCTGGGTGCCTCTGGGAGAGCTAACTAACACCACCCTTTGTCCCTGACCATGGAGAAAGGAGGCAAGCCATTGCAAGGCAAGCCCCTGAAAATCCATGTCAGCGAGGCAGTGGATCAGTAACTGATGGTCGACCGTGTCGAACGCCATCAACAGGTCCAACAACAGCACTGCTGATCCACCCCGATGCAGATGCCTTGAAAGAGCATCTGTGAGGGCGACCAGTGCTGTCTCTGTTCCATGTCCCGGGCGAAAACCAGACTGGAAGGGATCTAAAATGGAAGCATCATCCAAAAAAGCTCTGTAGCTGAATCGCCATGGCCCTCTCTATTATTTTGCCAATTCAGCTGGATCCAAAGATGGCTTCTTCAAGAGGGGACAAACCACCGCTTCCTTGAGCGCCCCAGGGAATAGTCCCTCTATGAGGGACTTGTTGATAATTTCCCTTAGGGCGCCACACAACCCCTCGTGGCCAGCTTTAATTAGCCACGAAGGGCACGGGTCAAGGTAGCATGTGATGGGGCATACAGCCAAGAGCAATTTGACAACTTCCTCAAGGCTGAGCGGACTGAAATGATCCACTACCTGACTTGAAGATGTGCATGGAGCCTCGAGTTCACTATCAACTGTGATGGGAAGATCATGGCTGAGCGACATGGCTTTGTCTGCGAAATAGCTCGCAAAAGCCTCAAAGCCAATATCCAATTCTCTAAAATTTTGTCTGCCCTGTGGCAGAACAGTTAAAGACCAAATTGTTCTAAATAATTGGGCTGGGCATGAGCTCACAAACGTGATCGTGGCCGCATAATACCCTCTCTTTGCAGCTTTGACCATCTTGTAGGATCTCATAAATGCCCTATAAAATGCTCTTGTAGCTTTATCACGAGCTTGCCTCCACCATCTCTCTAGCCATCTTAGCCCGCACTTCATAAGCCGCAACTCCTGGATGTACCAGGGAGCAAGCCTGGGGTGGGGGCGTGGAGTGTGATCTCATCAATGGCTGCAGAGAGTTGGCTCTGCCAATCCCCTACAAGCTCGTCCAACAAGCTGCCAGGGGGCATCAGATCCTGCAGAGTCATCTGGAGCCGTACTGGATTCATTTGGCTCCGTGGGTGAGCTAAAATAAGCTCACTGCCTAAACAGGGTCAGAATGAGACATTCAGATGGGCCCTCAGGGCATGGTGGTCCAACCATGCTACTGACAAGGCAGTAATCCATTCCACTGTTACCCCAGCCGCGAAGAACAGATCGAGTGTGTGTCCACCCTGGTGAGTGGGGGTCATTACAAATTGGGAGAGTCTCAGTGCCACTATGGACGACACTAGGTCCACTGCCTGAGTGCAGGTCGTGTCATCGGCATAGACATTGAAATCACCCAAGACTATCAGCCTAGGGTGTTCCAGCACCCAGCCTGATATGGCCTCCATCAGGGATGGCAGGCTATTGGCCAGTTCGTTAGGTGGTCAGTACACCAGCCAAATTGCCAAACTCTCCCCGGCCTTCTACACCAGGCTGGTACACTCAATGCCCGTGATCTCCAGCGGCGGAAGTGCCTTGAAGGAGTAAGCCACCTGAATGAATATGGCCACTCCACCCGACCCCTAGTCCGCGATTAGTGAAGGACCGAGAATCCAGGAGGGGCAAGCTGGGAGAGAGCTACAGTCTCCCCGTCCCACACCCAGGTCTTGGTCATGCATGCCAGGTCTACATTCTGCTCCAGCAGGAAGTCCCGAAGGACTATGGTCTTATTATTTATATGCCTTGCGTTGCACAGCACCAATGTCGGAGGGGGGTTATCCATCTTAGCCCCTCTGCCAACAATCTTCAGGAGTGGAAACAGGCTGGAAGGGTGCCAAGCTATTCTATTTCTCCGCTCCCTTCCCTTAGTTCCCTGCCTGGTCCCACCACTATACTTTCCCCTCCCCAGGAGCATCAAAATCCTTTGCTCAAGCATCGCCGCATCTAACCGTCTTTGCGTTAGCCTCAGACCCACTGGTGGGGTTAATAAAGATGTTCCCACGGTATGATTGCTGGTAGCAAGCTACAGCTTCCGGTACTGTTCGATCCACAATTTCACAACCTGTCCTACTATGCAAAAAATATTGATTGCCACTACACACTTGAATCTTTTGATTACACACTTGAATCTTTTCAAATGCATCTACAAAGCATAAAGTATGATAAATGAGCCTAGGTCTTGTCCAAAATCATCATCTAAAAACAAAACAAAAATAAGACATAATCTCAAGGATACCGAATAACTAAGAAAACAATCCTCAGCATGTCTACTCAGAATCCTACTCAGGTCTGCTCAGCAGGGCTTATTGTTAGGAAAAAATTCTTAGCTTGGGACTGTAAGACCAGTTGCACAAGAAACACATTCTATTCTGTGTGATGAGGTCACATTCACCCACATTTTGCCTGCTCTAAAATGGGAGGTCTTATTCTCTTAGAATGACCACATTGACTATTTCTTGTTAGGAAAAGATCATGCCCCAAATAGAAAATCTTGGATGCAGCTTATTCATATATCGTACTTAATATAAAGACAATTAATCCATGATGTAAGTCAGTAACAGAATATAGTTTAATTTGTCTCATGCCAATGCTTGGGTTTAGAGTAACTTTGGCAGCAACTCTAGTATGACAACTTGTGGATCTTCTAACAGGTAGCAGGGCTAACCTACCATTTGGAAAGACACGTTATGAGTGCAACCCTAAGAAGAGTTACACCCTTTTAAGCCAATTGACTTCTATCAACTTAGAGAAGGGAGCCTGTTCAAGGCTGTGCTGCTGGTCACAAATAGACACACTCATAAATAGACATGCAAGCTAGTTGCTTGAACATGCAAACTGGGGCACCTATCTCTTTGGTGGATTACCTTGGTATAGTCACAGCCTTTTAGCCAAGCCAACTGTTGAGAGGATGAAATTGGATAACCCATGTACCTGCCATGAGCTTGTTGGAAGAAAGGTACAAGACAGCTGTGATAATTAATCAATTTCTATTAAGCACATTTGTCTGCTGTTTAAAGATACAAGTTACATGCTCCTCATGATGAAGACTGTGGGTTAGAATTTTTTTAATGGGGTATATAACAGAAGACAGAAGAGAAGACTCAATCAAGGATGTCATCTGAAATGAGACACTACCTGTTCACAGTAAGTTCTGGGATATTTCTCAGGAAAACCAAATTGTGCATATGTGCCCTTATGAGCAACTTCCAGAGTACTAGCTGTAACTAACTACATTTGTAACAATAGTGCAGGTCATCATCACATCTTGACTGTGTATCTTGATAGATCAGTGGTCTACACAGAACTGTCTGATTGCATGAACATAGAGCTTGTCATTGTGACAGAATCTTACCCAATAGTAACCTACAGGGGCGGTCACATGCGTGAGATAAAGTGTGTGTGGGGGGAAGCGAGGCTATTTCCTCCAGAGGAATTTGACCCGCAGTTGCGTGATCACACAGTCCTTGGAAGTTGCGGGATCAGACGCAACCGCAGGTGAATCGGGGTGGGGGGTTTTTTTGCTGTTTGTTTCCGATGTGTTTAAATGAGGAATTGATTAATCGCATCTCCGCACCATAAGAGCATGCTGGAGCGATCAGACAAGGGAAACTTCGTCCATGGCCCATCGTAACCCATTTACTACCAGATTTTCCCCAGTGTCTTTTTACTCCGCTCCTGTAGTGGAGCAAAACGGGTTGCCGACTGGTGCAGGGTACTTCCCAGATGTTCGTGTCTGATCATGCCCTTAAAATCCGCCTGGCATTCACGCCTATGGTGGGTCTAACTGTGCATGTGATTGTGCCCTACCACTTTATTACCAGTTCAGTGGGTCTTGTGGACTGATCAGTAGTAACTTTCTAATGTTCAGAAGAAAGATATTAATCGGGTCTTTGCTAACATTTTTCTGACATTACAATCAGTATAAGGCATAGTACAATTCTATATTTCATTTATATCCTTGTATCTAATAGCCAAACATTGGCCACAATGTGGACCAGAACATCTGCCAAAAAAAAAAGCCTGCTCTGGCTACAATTTAGGGTTCTGAAAAGCCAGGAGAACTCCGTGGTTTTCAGATAAAATCTTTTTAAAAAGTAAAGGAAAGGTAAAAAGAAGAACCTTAAAATGTTATGTTTGCACATTATACCCCCTCCCCCCCAAAAAAACCCTAGCATTTGGGTGCATACTGGGTTGCCATAGCAACTCAAAATGGCACCTGGAGGAGAAGGAGGTGGAAGTATAGGAAAAGGTAAGGGTTAATGTTGCCATGAAACCACTTCAGATGGCATTATTAAAGATTCTGAAATATGTCTGCTTTGCTGAACTGTGAAAAGAGTGTGTCAGGGCAATAGACAGAGCTCTGTTCCCAAAAGAAGTGCCCTTATACTGGACTATGGGGTATACTATGGCCAAGGGGAGCCTTGCACCTAAGAAGCATGCCAAGCCAGATGTGGACCTCAGGACTACAGAAACCTCTTGCCCCTGCATCCCTGCAACAGTGCTAGCATCAGGATGCAGACCAGCAGCCCTGACCTCTATGCATGCAGAAACAGCAGCAGATCACAGAAGGAAGCCATGCTGTGTAATAAAGGACAAGATGTTCCTGCAAAGAGGCCATAAGAAACTCCCTTTTCCATAACACAGGCCCTCCCCCCCACCTCCATGTGTTTAACTTCACCTAGAAAAACACACATTCCTCTCCAGCTTAGGACAAAGAGATGTGCTCTGCATAAGACAATAAGCAGCGATTCAGCCTTCCCGCTACCCATCAAGATAACGCTGCAGTCAAGCATCCAGTCATTAAGCCAAAGCACCAGACCTGCAACATGATTGGTTCTCTTCATCCTCTCCTTTGTACCCTCCTTTCCTCAGAGGTGTCCCTCCCTGCTGACCATTAAGTTTACAATTGCCCAACCATTAATCCCTTTATGCCCCATTCAGAATGTAAGTTTTTAAAACATTTCCTGGGGACCAGGTGACCACATGACCCTTTCTGCCTCAGGTCACATTTTTAGGTATTTAAGGAGACCCCTCCCTGGGCACGCTCTCTTGCTTCTTCCTTTCCTGACCCCACCCTACCTTGTTGGTTCCATTCTCGGCCAGTTTGGAATCAGTCCACATGTGCTGCTGGTCAACTCATGATCCCTCTTCCCTTACTGTGTTATTTTTTGCTGCATGATCCAAGTGTCTCACCAGACAGGAAAAGTATCACCCAACCAACGATATTTCCTGCTCATGCAAATGTCTTTATACTTCATAATCTGTATTCTTAGCCCTGCATCGTGTGTGTGAATGCTTGATTTTTGTTTGTATGCTTGAAAAACCTTTAGTAAAGAAATCATTGTTTTAGCAATTTAGCCTCAGTGTCTATTCCGGGGTCCGGGGAATTCTAACTCCTGTAAACACTGGTTAGGTTCCCATATTTTATGCCTATTGCCGTTTAAGAGTCATAATTCCCCAAGTGTATTAATAAAAATAAGGCAATTTGGCTAACATTAGAGGAAGCCAAAGAGGACAGGCTAGAAAGAGAGGGAGCTGTGGTGCAGGGGACAGTAGAACCTAAATCGGTTCAGGTAAGAGGGGAAACAAACCAGCGGGAGAGGTGGAAGGAGTGTGGCCCGACCACAAAAGTCCTTGTTCCTCCTCCCATTGTATTTTATTTCCCCCAGCATGGTGTAGTGGTTAGGAGCAGCCAACTCTAATCTGGAGAACTGGGTTTGATTCCGCACTCCTCCCCGTGAAGCCTGCTGGGTGACCTCGAGCCAGTCACAGTCCTTTCAGGACTCTCTTAGTCCCACCAACCTCACAAGTTGCCTGTTGTGGGGAGAAGAAGGGAATGTAGTTGTAATGTAATTGTAAGCCACTTTGGGACTCCTTAGGGTAGGAAAAAGCAGGGTATAAAAACCTACTTTTCTTCTGTCGGAAATCCTGTATTATGGTTATTGCCTGATATACATTAGTATGCACTTTGCATAGTGTGCTACTAATTTTCTGCACCAGTGTTAAGAATACATTTTTATTCACTCACAATGACTAAACCTTTTTCTGGGAAACAAATCACAACATGCATCACTATGGTGTCTAAAACGAATTTTGCTGGAGAAAAAGATTGTATCTAAACAGAAAATGATTGAAGCTCCATGGTTCATTAGCTTTCACAAGATTGCCAGCAATTAGAAAGACCGCCTTTTCATGAACATGGCAAATATACAACATTGCTGCAGAATGTTACTATGATTAATAACCAGCAGAAATATTCAAAGGGCTGCAATAAATTTAAATAATTGTGTGCCATAGTTATGAATGCTGTATCAATTTTCAATTGCTATCCGTATCTGATCATCAAAGGTGGTGGTGGGGAGGAAGGTCATAATAATGATCAGAGTTCATGCACAGTCTAGTAAACCATTTTTATGGTGCAGACATGTACAGTGTTATTAAATAGTATCGCATGTAAACAAATGTGAGAGTGCCTGTGGGTTCTCATAAATTCAGAAACAAAGACCAGTCATCTGTAAAGAATGTCCAAGATGTCTTACATATTCATAAATAACTCTATGCTTGCCTTGACAAATGTAATACTAGGGCTTCAATATTTGGGCAGCTATGCTAATCAATTAAAAAGACATCCCCTGATTAATTCCCCCTTTTGGGCACACACTTTGATGTGATGAGTGGATTTGTGTGTGTCAGCAAAGCTGAGAGCAATACCACAAGCAGTTTAGATTCTGTCAAGAGTCACTCAAGGCAGAACAGTCACAGCTGAGACATCAAACTAAAATGCACCCAACCCCCTTCAAGAATCAATGGCCACATCAACAGGAAAAAAATGGATAGCCCCAAAGGGGATGGGGACAGAGGAATCCTTGAATGGTAGCTACTGGATAGCAGCCGTAGTCGAAGGTGACACTGGCAAAGGATCTTTCATAGACTATGGCAGTGCCACAGCAGCTGACCTGGATTAGTACTGAGCAAAAGAAGGGAATGATAAACCACTTCTGATCATCTCTTACTGCAAAAACCCTATGATGGGACAACCCAAAACAAAACAAAAAAAGAAATAGGAGGAGATGGGATTCATACCTTGCCCTTTTAAAAAGGTAAAGGTAAAGGTACCCTTGCTCGAAAGGCAGTCGAGTCCGACTCTAGGGTTGCGGTGCTCATCTCCGTTTCAAAGCCGAAGAGCCAGCGCTGTCCGAAGATATTTCCGTGGTCATGTGGCCGGCATGACTAAACACCAAGGCGCACGGAACGCTGTTACCTTCCCACCGAAGTGGTACCTATTTATCTACTTGCAATTTCGTGCTTTCGAACTGCTAGGTTGGCAGGAGCTGGAACTAGAGACAGGAGCTCACCCCGTCTTGCGGCACCCGGGTCTCGAACTGCTGAACTACTGACCTTCCACAGCCTGCAGTTCAGCGTCTTAACCACTTGAGCCACCACAGCTCCTGCCCTTTTAAAGGCCCTCCTTTAAAAATAACCTCATCCATTGAGCCAAGCATGGAAATCTCTTATTATTATTATAAACAACTAGGAGTAAGGCCCATTGTGGGAAGAAATACAAGCTCTAGAAGGAAGCTCCAGGTGAGTGTTCTGGCTGTGGCTGGTGGGGTGGCAGAGGGAAGGGGAAAATAGAGGGAGGCAAGCCATGTTTATTTCCTTCTGCTTAGCTATAAGGCAGGGCTGTCTCAAATCATTTTGCTGCCCCAAGTGGGTAGAATGGGAGAACAATCTCATGGTAACAGGTATGGTTCCCTTCTCCCCTGACTTATGTTGATTTGGGGCTATGCAGTGACAGCTAAGGTAGAAAACCACCTCCTCCTATGCCATGTCTTCTGAGTTTCAAGGGTCTGGAAAGCGGTTCCATAGCCAGTTACAGGGTTACCAACCTGGGTTGGGAAATACCTGTAGATTTGAGGGGTAGAGCCTGGGGAGGGCAGGGTTTGGGGTGGGGAGGGACCTCAGCAGGGTATAATCCCATAGAGTCCATTGCCCAAAGCAGCCATTTTCACCAGGAGAACTGATCTTGGAGATCTCCACGTGCTGCCTGGAGGCTGGCAATTCTAAGGGAAGGACCAGACCTGTAGATTTGAGGGGTAGAGCCTGGGGAGGGCAGGGTTTGGGGTGTGGAGGGACCTCAGCAGGGTATAATGCCAGAGTCCACTGCCCAAAGCAGCCATTGTCTCCAGGATAACTGATCTTGGTCATCTCGACATCAGTTGTAATAGCTGGAGATCTCCAGGTGCTGCCTGGAGGTTGGCTTATGTTAATTTGGGGCTATGCAGTGGCAGCTAAGGTAGAAAAGCACCTCCTCCTATGCCCTCTTTTCTGGGTTCCAAGGGTCTGGAAAGTGGTTCCATAGCCAATGACATGGTTGCCAACTCTGGGGTGTGAAATACCTGTAGATTTGAGCAGTAGAGCCTGGGGAGGGCAGGGTTTGGGGTGAGGAGGGAACTCAACAGGGTATAATGCCATAGAATCCACTGCCCAGAGCAGCCATTGTCTCCAGGAGAACTGATCTTGGTTATCTGGACATCAGTTGTAATAGCTGAAGATCTCCAGTTGCCACCTGGAGGTTGGCTTATGTTAATTTGAGGCTATGCAGTGGCAGGTAAGGTAGAAAAGCACCTCCTCCTATGCCCTCTTTTCTGGGTTCCAAGGGTCTGGAAAGTGGTTTCATAGCCAATTACTCGGTAGCTAACTCTGAGTTGGGAAATACCTGTAGATTTGAGGGGTAGAGCCTGGGGAGGGACCTCAGCAGGCTATAATGCCAGAGTCCACTGGCCAAAGCAGCCATTGTCTCTAGGAGAACTGATCTTGGTCATCTGGAGATCAGTTGTAATAGCTGGGAAATTTTCTGTAGGGGAAATGATGTGCTGTGGCTGGGGAACACGGTGATTTGTGGGAGATCTCCAGGCCCCACAGGGAGATTGGGATATGTATTTTACCTCAGGACTCCCAACAGCAACAGCAAACTGTTTAGAATGTTAGAGGCAAAGGCCAATCAGGCCGCATATGCAAATGACCTCTGTGTTCTGACTGGCTATTGGGGGGGGGGAAGGAAAAGCAAACTGTTTAGAATATTGGAGGCGAGACTCAGGCAACGCAGCCAGTGGATAAAGACAGCTTCTGAATGACAGATCATGGAGCTAAAGGCTGTGGGCATCTTGTGGAATGTTCAGCAACATGCCACCACCAAAACAGCTTTATAATATAGGAGAGATACTGAGTTTATCAACAGTTACAATA